GTGTGAAGTCCTGATCGCCACCTTCACCTCTTCACCCGAACCTACCAGCAAGGGTTTTGTTGTAATACATTTTTGTTCATAATATGAGATTCGAACCCGATACCTTCACTGCTAAGGGGGACGACTCTCAACCCGTGCCTCTTTATCTTACCATTATAGATAATTGACTTGAGCAGTGCCGTGTAAACTCACTGTTGAAAATTACGATGTCAAAATTCGACTATTTGATGTTCTGTCTTGACGAATGACCCTCCGAATATAGTTTCAATTCATGAACGCACGAAAAGTCAATATAGCTTTAGAGAGGTCAAATATTCAGACTACAGAGAAAAATACTGACTTGCAATCGTCCCCGTGTTACATTTCAGATGCATGTGCGAGTTGGCACTGAGCAGAACGTGTTAACTGGTCACAAACAAGAGACTGCACACCGCCCAATGTGACACACTCTTTAGCTGCTAACCGACTCAGAACTGCAACACGCCCGAGAGATAATCGTGTCCCTGTGCATTGCGGGCAGCTGAAATACGTCGGCTACAAGCAGTGGTGCAAGTTACTGCACTATTTCAAAATGTCGAGATGTTGTAACAAGCAGCTCTGGGGATTCCACACCTTGAAGCTGCTTGAAAAACATTGAAATATTTTCGTATCGTAATCATCAGCTATGTCTGCTTATTACCACACTGAAACATGAACAGTCTTATATTAGAACCTATATTTAGGTACTTGCTTAAGACTATTACTTGTTCTCATCCCTTCAGTGAGTGAGTGAGTTTAGCTTTACGCCACACTCAGCAATATTCCAGCTATATGGCGGCGGTCTGTAAATAATCGAGTCTGGACCAGACAATCCAGTGATCAACTGCATCGATCTACACAAATGGGAACCTATGACGTGTCAACCAAATCAGCGAGCCTGACTACCCGATCCCGTTAGTCGCCTCGTACGACAAGCATGGGTTACTAAAGATCAATTTCTAACCCGGAGCTTCACGGGTTCATCCCTTCGTAGACGTGTTGTAATTAGTGAGTGAGAATGTTATTACGCCGTTTTTGACATTATTCCAGCAATATCACAGATACAAAATCAAATGTTTATTGTATGAAAGGCGGTAGGCCCATATACATGAAGTGTACATGGTACAGTATAGGATTCTGAACATGGGTTCTCATAATCATATAAAATATGGTCGATAAAATAATAGGGCTGATGAGAAATGTGTTTATTATCACCTGAATATTGTTGAATTTATCATTTTTGGCGATACAGTTCTAATAATACAAAGAGACATGCCTTTCCTCCTGAAAGGAATGGTCCTCGGTTCTCACACTGTCGACCCCTGGTCAGCATGGTCCAGACTCACGTTGACTTGCCATGACCTGGGACATCGGACTAAAGTACCTAGTCCATTAACACACTTTGCATGTACGACAAGCACATCTCTCTCATGAACACTCTGTCAGTTTCACCTCGAGCGAGTGAGTGGTGTTTTTCACCGCTTCAACAATATCACGACTGGGGACACCAGAACTGGGCTTCACACATTGTACCATGTGGGGAATCGAACCCGGGCCTTAACCACTAGGTTACCTCTCCGCCCCGCTCGAAAACGGCCAGCAATGTTTGGTATAACTGTATGCTCGCTAATCTTCTTTTTAATACTTTTTACAGCTGATATATACTTCCCATCAAAAGTTTAGACTCACTTGTGTAAACATAGCCACTTACTTCAGGCAACTCACTAAAATAGATTTTGCAAAATATTCCATACTGTTTAAAGGTGCTGTTTACACATGAACTGATGTATTGTAAAACAAATTCGTAACGTTGAAAAGATTATTGTCATGTGTTCAGTAAATGATGAAAATCAGTGAAAAATGGCGAATTCTTAACAATACTTGACACCAAAGCGTAGCTGTTCACATGCACGATATTTGCACGTGCTTTTCAGCAATTTGATGCATGATCCTCGTGCAATTCATCTGCATAAAGTTTGCAGTTGGTTCCCCCAAGTTACATAAGTAAACATACATATATACATAACATATAGTGAGTGTTTTAAGTGAGTCTAAACTTTAGATGAGAAGTATATATGGTTTGATTGATCATACAATATGTGTGGAGACTGGTGACGTTTGTCAGGGTGCTGGTTTATAAGCCGAGCTTATTTCCATATGGTAATAATCATGTGTTACGAATACAAATGATGTTATAGAGCTAGTCTGTCTCACAGTCCCTGAACCACATTATTTTCCCTACTGCCAAGCCCTATCTGCAGTGCTAAAGCCCTAAATACAACAAGTCTAGATTTCCTCAGGTTTGGGTTCTGAATCTCTGGTCGCCCTGGGGCTCCTTTTCAATTTAAATGGGCTTGTTTGTTACTATCAAAATTATATATATTCAGAGACTAAACATTAGTCTATTATAGAGCCTATGAGAACATACAAAGCCAATAATATTTTTAGAATACCTTATGTTGTTTGCTGGACATCAGTAGCAATTAACTTTCATTGAACCTGTTAATACGTAACGGTTGAAACTAAATTCATAGTATGTTCATTATTCTACATTCATTGTTACGCTACTGTTTACACTATTATTTAGTACTATTATGATGAAAATAGTGCATGTGTATATATTTACTTTCATGTCTCATTCAAGATTAATTATGCAATTCGCGAGGGGAGGTGGGTTAGCCTTGTGGTTAAAGCGCTCGCTCGTCACACCTAACGCCTGGGTTCGATTCCTCTCGTGGGCACTATGTTTGAAGCCCATTTGTGGCGTGTGCCGTTGTGTTATATAGCGAAAAGCGGCGTAAAACTAAACTCACTCACTACTATGCAATAAGCATATAGTGGGTTCAAGAGTTTATTGTTGTGTACAATGGCATACAACCACTAGGTTACTCATTGTAATTCCTAATTTATTTGGTTCATACAGAGGGTCACGGACCCAGGGACATCCCGATTTGTGAAACTGAGTTATGTTACAAAATATAGTCGTACATAAATGTGATAAAGTTTCAAAAACAAATATTTTGAAGTTAGTTTCAAGTAAATTCAATTCACAAGTAGTGGAAGACTGGTTACTTGATAAATCGTATCTATTGTGCATGCTTCCCTTTTTCTCGGATCGAATTATTCCGGAATGTGTGTAAATATCACGAAAGCACGGTTGTACCTTTCTAAGCACGTGTGGATGTTGACTGAGTCAAGTTTGTGTTCCAGATGTCAATCATGGCACTGCAATTGACCAGCTATTTCAGGTGTACGTTTTCGTCACGCACTGCTCACTATATTCAGTCTAGGACAGCTCGACATGGCGGCCAACGGTCATAGATGTTTTTTCGTTACATTTTTTAAATCTTAAAACCTTTATTGACCGAAGACCTGTGTCAAGCATTCGCCTTGTTTGGTTCCTTTTCAGTGTTTTCCACGCTGCGGGCGATATTGGCTGACAAAACAAAAGTTTTCATTTGAGTATCGAGAGTTGGAAATGTCTGGAATTAGCTGAATACCTTGCTTTCAGACATTTAAAAAAACAAACGAGACTGAAATGTTTATCCTTCTTGCTGTTTTGCCCCTGAACAACGCGTTGCTGTGGTGTTACAAGGTAGAAATGAACAACGAATGTAAATCGGTCATCCAGTCAATATCGGAAATGTTAATGCATATAACTGTGTCGCCGAGTATGACGAACACGCGTGTGTGTCTAGCATGTCTATTGCACCGTGGCGGGATCTGTCAGCGCGGTTGAGAGGCTGTAACAGATGGGAAACTGTTGCACATTTCACATCAATTTCATCGGGTCGCCAAGATTGTTTGGATTGTATAGTTTTATGTCAATACAACAAGCCAAGGTTTTAGTTTGTGTTTTTTCCTAGTGGCGTACGTCTGTCTGACTTACTACAGCACATAGATTTAACGATTTGGGTGCTGGTTGGATATGAACCGACGAACACCTGTTCCTGGCAACTAAGGGACACAACTCCGGTTTGTTGTGCCTAAGATATGCACATTTATATAGGCATATACGGTCATGTTAGTCAAAACACTCTCACCTTAATACGAGGCGATCCCAACAACCCCGACCCCACCCCACTTACAACACCTCCTCAGAAAACCTCTTGTTTAACAGCCACCCACCCGGTCAACCCCGCTTCCTACCCCGCCCCGCCCCAGTCCCACCTCAACAGCCAGCCGCCCCGCCCACTAGTCAGCTCGTGCACCCTACCGCCGAATCCCCACCTTATCACACAACAGTTAACATTAAATCGATTAAATCAAAAGTCTATCAAGAGTCCAACTAACAGCGTGTTTGACAGCTGAAACCAGCCTTCAGGAGTGCCAATATTGAGTGTTCAAAGATCAACGCCATAACAGAAACTATTCATTTACATTCATTTAAACACATAATAATCATGTACATTTTCCTTAAAATGTTGCAAGATTCATCTAGCGTATGTATATGCATAATTTCATAATGCATAGGCGGATCCAGAGGGGTGTGTGTGTGCGCGCACCCAACCCCCCACCCCCCTTTTTGCCCTGAAAGTTTATTAAATGACCATTGAAACTCTCGTGAAAATGAAGTGTGCACCCCTCCTTTCTATTGAGAATGTGTGCATCCCCTCTTTCTCATAAAGCTGTATCCGGCCCTGAATGAATGTAAATAATGAAACTTAATCTGAAAAGTCAGCATCTAATTAAGTTAACTGTTTAAAGAGTTATTGATATGAAAATAATACAGCACTCTCTCGTCACTACGTTTTGAGACGTTTTTACAAACATTGAAATGCGTCTCCTCGGCACTGTACAGATCACAAGAAGATATGTCCCAGGGAAATAGCCAGCATAGCAAATGCATTGGGTTGTTTGCCCCTCGAGAAGAAATTGATCTTTGTCCAACACGGCAAACAGTCAATCTACAGGTAAGGCGGGTTATGGTTGGCTGCTTTAACATTCCTACACCCCCGGCTGTCACTAGTCGACTCGTCCATCGTTTGTTCACCACGGGATATTAGCCAAACGGTCGCAAGCAACCCTCGTGGGATGTAAGATTGTCAGTCCGGGACAAAGACAACCTTGTCTATTGGGGTCTTTACCACAACATGTCTGGTTTCACGTTGCTCGGACCAGTTACTTAGGAAACTGCTCAACATGCCGCGCTTTTAATATACCTGGGCCAGGTAAGATCAGAACTAGTCGTCTGCCCGGCTTGAGGTTATTTTTAGCGAATATATCGTATAGTGATATAGGTGAGTGAGTTGTAACGCTTGTTATTTATTTTTCAGGTTCGGATGTAAAGTCGTTTGTGATTATTCTATTGCCGATTGTCGTCTGCTGTTCAGACGTCGTCCAACATGGCTATGCAAGGAGACGAGGCGTCGATTGAAAGAGGTTACCGAAGATTGTCTTCTCTCTTCCTTCGGCCTGGAATCGATCAGCAAAAATGTCAACGTTGTAAATCGACTGTTTATCAACAAGAACGTCTCGGTCCCGTTCACGACGTCGTGTTTCATAAAACGTGTTTCAAATGTATAACTTGTGGACAGTTTCTTACTTTGAAAAACTACTGGTCAAATCAGGTAGACCCGGAGGACAGGGAAATATACTGCAATAGCCATGTACCGAGAATCGGTGGGGCAAGAATTGACAAGGAAGCGCTCGGAATTAAAAGCGCTATGTCTGTCCAGCAACATTTCAAGAGAAGTGCAGATTCTAAAACGTCAGAAAAACGGATACCAGACAATATCCCTCAAGTAGGGGCAGACGCGTTGATGATTCAAAGGGCTCTCAAAGCCCCCAAAACCAACCAGTACGGTCAAGAAGGAAATGTACCTGCCTCAAGTCTTGATATCGATGCCTGGGGAATAAAAGATGCCATGGACGCACAAGTTCTACAAAAACGATATCAGAGAAAGTTGGATAAACATCACTTCCCTCCACATATCGTAAGTTTTTCATTTCAATCGTTGAATATTACCTTGAGACTGAAGCCATTCTCTCTGTTTACGGCGAATGGGAATTATCAATTTCTGCACGACAACGTTATGTTGACTTTCCCCGCCCTCGGTATATTTGCCAAAATTACTTCCCCCTTTTTTCACCACTAGACCGTCGTCTCAATGAAAGACGAAATGTGTATTTGACCCGAAAAATCCTTGAGAGAAATTCTTTCAGCTGATCATACAATGCTTCCAAATTGATGGGGATAATTTTTAAACATGATTTTTAATTCCTTTGGTTAAAAATTTGTTTCGTCTGGGATAGAATTCTGTCAACAGCAGACCGTGTTTATCCCTGTTACTTCTGTGATTATACCCCGGATTAGAACATATTGAAACCGATTTGTAACAACCCCCAGGCGTTGTAATTACGGTGTATGTTCATGTTCCTTCAGGCATGTCGGACTGTTAGCAAACAGAACCCTGTCAGAAACTCCTGCAGAAAATCTGCTACCCTTGTGAAAATATAACATTGTTTTCTATCCATTATTATGGGAAGACTGCGGCTGACAGTCCAGACACGGTTCAGCGAAACCCGTAAACCATTTGTAAAACCACCTTTATCTTGATTATTGCCGACTTGCTCTTATCGATGACCTAATAAAATTAAGTAGTCACATTTTATGTCATTTAACTCGTTCACACTATTCACGGTATGAGTCAGAGCAAAGTCTCGTCTTGTATGTCAACTATAAGAAAACAGCCGTAAAGTACGCGGACTTTTATTATCCAAGACATCAATTATTTTTATACCACAGCGTATGACAACCAGTTTTGTAAAGATCACCACAGATAGGATTTCTGTAAATATATAGGTATACACATCGCATCTATCTATGCTCCATCTTGTCACAGAAGTAGTGCTTGTCCTCCATTCTCTACAGATGTAGTAGAATCCAGTAGAGGTCTTAGATTACTTTAGGGCATTTGAGCTGCTACAACTCCTGGCGACAGATGGCTGCAGCATTTCCTTATATCAATTATTAATTACAGGTGGCCTAATAACAAACGTCAATCAATCAGCATTTCCCACCCCAAATGCAGCCCGCCCAGGTGTGCACTGAATGTAATACGACAATAGTCATTTCCACCACATAACCCCGTGGTACAGTGACGAACTTTACTAGGTAGTCTTCAGTCGTTTCATGAATGGAAGTAAGGCAACATTCCATAACAGAGTCCTTAACACAACACGAACGCAGGTCCTAAGTACCTGAGACATTCGGTCTATTCTTACAGTTGTCGGGGTAAAGACGGGAACAATTCCTCATTTCCAACGCTCGTTACCAGGTCGTACTGCGTTGGATATGGCAACAGTTGGAGGATAAATCGAACACCATCAATCGTCATTCATTCATTCCAAATGTGCTCTATTCCTAATGATTATATAATAAATCTGTTGTAACGGATATCATTTCAAACAGTCCTTGCTTACTACAACACATCGTTCTGATAATTCTACAGTGACATGACAGTTAAATTCCGGCTGTTGTTTGTGGGGTACATCAAGGATATATTTTGATACCTTCTTTCTTAAGCCTTACAATACATGACTTCAGAAATGCATACACTCGCCACATTCCGACTGAAATATACAAATGTTTGCTTCATGTAACCCCGGCTGTGTGACTGGATAGTTGAATTAAGAGCAGTGTGAGACTCATTCACCCTGATGTATGTTTCAAATGAATGCAGTGTAAAAAGGGGTAATCTAACCAGATTGTTTTACAGGTTGTAAATTACACTGTCATGTGGTATCCAGCTTCAAGAAGCACTTCATGCAAATTAGTGTTTCAGTGGGCAATACGTGTTTTCTTTACAGTACAGGACACGGGCACATTCCTCGATAGGTGGGGCGATGGGGTAGTTTAGTGGTTAAAGCGTTAGTTCGTCACGAAGAAGACACGGGTTCCATCCCCACATGGGTACAATATGTGAAGCCCATCTCTGAAGCCCATCTCTCCCCGTCGTGATATTCCTGGAAGATAGGCGCGACTTATCCTTCGCTGTATATATGTTTTTATTTATTTGGAATTGATACTCTTTTGAACCAGCCCGCATGGAAACCCCCTCGATTAAGTCATCTGGTATTTTTAAATCTCTAATTCATGGTTAATGTATTCACTCTTGTCGAAATCCACACAAAAGTAGTGAAAGGGGAACGCGCATGTGGTATGAATCGCATTGACCCATTTTTCTTTTTTTTTCTCTCTCGCATAGTTCAGTTTGAAATTGGTCTAAATATGTCACGAATTTATCAAAGATCGTAATGGCTTACTTTTTATAAAGACAACACGACGTCTGCGTGAAATGATGTCATTATTGAAAACAGCCTCCGGGTTTTTCTGAATGACACAGGATGCTGTCAGTTGCGTCGCCACGCTGTACACGCATGATCGATTTACAATGGATGAGGGGGTTGAGAATGCCTTTCAATTTCGGCTCGCCTGATGTACCTGACGTGAAGTCATGCAATCAAGGGATTGTGCGGCAGGTACATGTTTTATGTAGAGATCGATCAATTAAAACTGTTACAAGGCAATCCGGTAGATCATGAATCAACGCATTGTAAAGATATAATTTGAATGTTCAACAGAGTTGTCACAATCCAGGTGAGATCACGTGATGGGCCTATGCCGCTGTGTAATTATCTCCAAATGTAATAATCATACACTCCACGCTCGTCGCTGTTTCTTATCTACCAAATATGTTAAGCGTACATTCCACGATACTGATGCTTCCCACCCGTGATACACACCCTTAGCGTTAGTAAGGCGTGCAATCTTCCAATATAATGTATACCCTAGTTATACCTCTACATCTCGCTGTTGCATTCAATCTACTACAATGTAGGTGAAACTATACCTGCACACCTGATACCTTCTGTTTGTAGATTTGACACCCCTACACCAGAGGTTTCATACCCTCTGCTTGTAGATTGAACACACATACGCACGCACATACGAACGCACACACATGCACACACCTCCCCCAACAAGAGAGATACCCCACTGGTACAGTATGTAACATTTGGCCCCTAAGGGATTGGGAAACTGCTTTAACCTTGTCGACCATATCATACACTTAATAATATATGAATTAAATAACATGCTCTCAGTTGCTTTGAACACAGATTTTCTTGTGGTGATGTAAAAACTGTTTGATGGTTTGATAGTTCCTAAGCGGCTCGATGAAGGTCTGCCTTCCTGATCTGATAACGAGACCACACACTTAATACAGTGACTCCATTAGGCAGCGATTGAAATCGACAGACAGATCCATATACAAAGAATGAACGGCCTAGTGATATGTACTTATGTTTCATGATAGACGATTGAAATCGACAGACAGATCCGTATGCAATGAATGCACGGCCTAGTGATATGTACTTATGTTTTATGATAGATATATTTTGACTTGCATCGTAGTTGACTCAACTTGGACCTTCTCCTCGTAGGAATGCAGTAGAACAGGGCATTTGTTTACGAATGTGTAAAAATAGTTGCCCTGCATTTTCACTAAATTGGTGGTACTTTTGAGTGTTAGATAACGAGACAGCCCCGATGTTCAATTTCAATACCTCGTTGTGTAAGCGCTAATATTTCTTTTCTTGTATTTTTAATACCCACTCGATACGGGAGAGTTTGTTTCAATCATTGTGACAGAGTGCGTGTCCTTGTGGTTAAGGCGTTCGCTCGTCACGGTGAAGACCCGGCTTCTCTTCCCCACATGGGTACAATGTGTGAAGCCCATTTCTGGTGTCCCCCACCGTGATATTGCTGGAATATTGCTAAAGCGGCGTCCAACTAAACTCACTCAAACTGCTTCAGGGATAATACAACGAGGCACATGCGTCAGTTGAAGTCTCACTCCTTGTTTTGACGGAGGGCCGGTTACTATAGATGCAGGCCAGCTCGGGAAAGGATGGTGTTATTGCTGTCTTTAAACTGTGGTCCACAGGTGACCGGTTTGACTTGTACTGGTGACCACGTACATGGGAGAATCGGATGTTACACTTGTTAGACGCGTGAAGTCAGATGTTAACACACGTGTGTTACATGCCCGAGAAAGACCGCCTCCGTGGTGTAGTGGTTAGAGCGTCCGCCCGGAGAGCGGAAGGTCGCGGGTTCGATCCCCGACCGCGTCATACCAAAAGACGTTAACATATGGTACTTGTTGGTCCCTGCCTGGCGCTCGGCATTAATGGGTACAACACGGACTGGTCGGCTCGGAGTCAGTATAATGTGTCTGAGTGGGGTATTCATGCTTCACTGCGGCACGGTATCTCAGTGGGCTAGCACTAATAAACCAGCTTCAGTCTGGGCTAGTACAAGCAGCCGCACATACACATACACACGCATGCACGTCGTCATATGAGCGAAATATTCTCAAGCACGACGTAAAACCCAATTTCACCTCACCTCATATAGAGGTGAAACATGTGAGTTTTGCGTCATACTTTACACCCCTATTTTTCATTGTCAGCATCAGAATTTATCCAGGGAAATAGAGCATTTACAGTAGCTTTGTCTTCTAACAATGCCAAATGACGAGGCGCAGTGAACACTATCGTCATTAGCTGATCCACTGAAGTCAAATTTGTTAAATTATCTCCATCATATCTAATATATCACTCACTGGCAGGTTACAGATAGACACCTGGGTAGTACCCGAAACATGACGGTTTGTTGTAGATACTGAGTGTAGGCTCATTTAACATGCCACTTGTTTGATGACATTTATTCACCCATATATACCATATACTACATTTGGCAATTCAAACAAGGTTTTTCTAATAGGTAATTAGGGCATTGTGTGGTTTAGATTGGTGAACCTTCATCACGATGAAGGCAAGAGATCTAGGCTACTTGTTATATAACACATTAATATACTATTCACAGAGAACCCAGGCGGGATGGATCTCCAGCTGGTTTTGTAGTGTGTAG